GCGCGCAGCCATCCCGCGCAAAACATTATGCAATAATTTATGTAATTATTTATTTATTTGATAAAATATATTTCTTACCTTTATTGTGCTATTGTGATCCACTGAGAAAGTGTGTTTGAATGTTACGAAGGCCAGTGCAGAATTTAATACTTTGTTGTTGTGTGCGAAGCCGAGGACGAGGACGAGTACGCAGACACGGGCACGGCTACGCAAATGACGCAGCGCGGGAGGCGCGAGCGCACGCTCACTGACTACAGAATCAGGCTTTTTAGATACAAAGTCATTTATAGGATTTGAAATATTAACCTATTGACCTACTGAACAAAAAACCTCTCAATTCTTAGTTTAGTTTGCAACGCAAAACAACCAGGTGAATAAAATAAATGTATGGAATTAAGCAAGAAATTGTATTGGCTATTTACCCTTAAAGGGACAGTGCACTAATAATAATAATAATAATAATAATAACTTCTGTCATTATTTACTCACCCTCATGTCATTTAAAACACGTTTGTCTTTCTTTCATTCTTCATTGGAACACACAATAAGATGAATGTAATGTAACCAAACACTTTTGGGTTGCACTGACTACCGTAGTATTTTTAGTCTGTACTATGGAAGTCAAAGGGACCTGAAACATTTATTTTTAAATATTTTTCAAAACACCTTCGCAGAAGAAGAAAAAATCGTACAGGTTTGGAATGACATGGTGGTGTGTAAATCATTACAGATTTGTAATTTCTGGGTGGACTGTCTCTTTACTGTGATGGTGAATGAAAATAATTTTATTTATTTTTTTACCATGGTACTCCTGAATGATTGCCATATTCCCGCATCATGGTATTTACATGGTAAAATCCTAAAATATTAACGTACTACCATGGCCCATGTCCAAAAACGTGATATTACCATGGTATAATTTCCCCAAAACACTGGCAATACCATAGTACATTTTGAATCATCACCAAATGAGTTCCGGGTTACGCAAACAGTCACATTCTATCTGATGACATTTTATGTGGTACTAATTGGAATAACTTCAAAATAACTGGATAAAGTCCTGTTCTGTGCAAATCTTTAGATATCTGAAATGGTTCAGTGAAATACACAACTATATAATAATCATGTATAACACAAAAATTGATTTGTTCTTTGAATTTGTTTATTGAATTCTTATGTCAGATATACTATAATTACTGCATATTCTCTTCACTCATGTCTCAATGCAAAGGGATGAATAGAAACTGCAAAATTGTCAGAAATGGAATTGAGATTTTATTGGAGTTGCTTGCGTGGGAAACAGCCAGCAGGGCGGCGACGCTGCATTGGAAAACAAACAAGGACATAAACACACATGGGGTTCGTCTGTACAGTTTAAGGCTCAGATGTGGCACTCAGGGCAGGGAGAACTCTGGGATTGATATTTCAGGTCGTCATTACAACAGCTCTCGGAGAGATTCATTCCTCTAAACTCAACGTTCACAAGCGACAGTTTTCAAAAAGAAACAAAAACAGGTGTATAACTCAAGTAAAAACAACATAACACGTCTCTAACATACATGTGTGGCATATTCTCGTAATGAACGTGCAATATTCAGATCAGAGATGAGGGTGACACGTGTGGCTGGCACATCTTTGCAAGGATTTTTTAATTCAGATTTTATTTTTTATTCAGTAGGATAAATAAATGTAGATATCTGTAACTGCTATATTTCTTCTCACACATTCTTCAGTCCCTTTATGACTATACACTGCGCTCATATAGTATTTACTAAAATGTCTATATACTGTAGTCTCCTCACAAAAAAGCAGAATTGTTCCCTTGTCATGCAGTAACAGTGATCCAGTGCGGCAGACGGCGCCTGTAAGCGTGTGAGTGTGTGCATGTGTGTGCGTGTTACTCCAGACGTGTTCTGATGAAGTTTGCTGCGATTCTTTCGTTTATGCTGCTGTTCCCGTGGTTGATTTCTCTGAAGCAAACTTCATTTTCCACAGCGTGAACACATGAGTTCCTCCAGAAAGTGTGAAGATGATGTTAATCCTGCAAATGAATAAAACAGAACATTCAGTCAATATCAGGAACACTTTGTGCTTTCTGCAGACTCAGTGAAGGAACAGAGAGAACCTTCAGAGGAGCAAAGCATGACGTCGGCTCAGTCAGTGATGATGTCAAACACGTCATGCATTTCAATATTACGTTACGATGACAACATAACATAAAAATACAGGCCCTCAGTAACATGCCTCCATTTCAACATTATATCACTAAAACTAAAGATCTACATTTTCCTCAGGAAAATGTCAGTGGTGTTTCCCGTGCAAAACTCACTGCAACAATGATAGCGTGTTCCGGCTGGTTACCAGGGCATTGCTATGTGGTTGCTATGGTGTTCAGGGCGGTTGCTATGTGGTTGTTATAGTGTTCTTGGCGGTTGCTATGGTGTTCTGGGTGGTTACTATGTGGTTGCTAGGGTGTTCTGGATGGTTGCTAGGGTTGTTATGGTGTTCTGGGTTGTTGCTAAGGTGTTTTGGGTGGTTGCTACGTGATTGCTAGCATTGCTATGGTGTTCTTGGTGGTTTCTTTGTGGTAGCTAGGATTGCTATGGCGTTCTGGTTGGTTGCTAGGGTATTATGGGTGCTTACTATGTGGTTGCTAGGGCTGTTTTGGTGTTCTGGGTGGTTGCTAGGGTTGCTATGGTGTTCTGGGTGTTACTAGGGTGTTCTGGGTGGTTACTATGTGGTAGCTAGAATTGCTATGGTGTTCTGGGTGTTACTAGGGTGTTCTGGGTGGTTACTATGTGGTAGCTAGAATTGCTATGGTGTTCTGGGTGTTACTAGGGTGTTCTGGGTGGTTACTATGTGGTAGCTAGAATTGCTATGGTGTTCTGGGTGTTACTAGGGTGTTCTGGGTGGTTACTATGTGGTCGTTAGGGTTGCTATGGTGTTCTGGGTGGTTTCTAGATTGATTTTGGCGGTTGCTATGTGGTTTCTAGGGTTGTTATGGTGTTCTGGGTGGTTGCTAGGGTGATCTGGGCAGTTGCTGTGTGGTTGCTGTGGTGTTCTGGTTAGTTACTAGGGTGTTCTGGGCGCTTGCTATGTGGTTGCTAGGGTGTTCTAGGTAGTTGCTATGTGGTTGCTATGATGTCTGAGCTATGGATGCTATTTAATTCTGAGTGGTTGCCCAGATTAGTAAACAGATTAGTAAACAGCTAGTCGACACTATTAATCTCCGTGAACGTCCTCATGTGGTCACATGACTCATGGAGATGATCTGCAGTACCGCTCTCTACCAGCAGAATGCAGTGTGTTCAACCACATCTGCTCCTGATCTCACACACAGACGATCATCATGTCATTCTGTTACAGGTGTGAGTAGTTAGTTCACATTCTGAAAGCAGCAGTCAGACATCCACAGATGTAAACAGCCAAAGCAGCACCGGTGTTAGAACAGCAGCCAATAGCAGCGCTCCAAAGCGCAGCGCAGCGCAGCAGCCAATCAGCTTGCAGTCAGCCAAGCCTACTCAAGCTGTGATTGGCTGTGGTATTACCTGCATATTTCAACATTATATCACTAAAACTAAAGATCTACATTTTCCTCAGGAAAATGTCAGTGGTGTTTCCCGTGCAAAACTCACTGCAACAATGATAGCGTGTTCCGGCTGGTTACCAGGGCATTGCTATGTGGTTGCTATGGTGTTCAGGGCGGTTGCTATGTGGTTGTTATAGTGTTCTTGGCGGTTGCTATGGTGTTCTGGGTGGTTACTATGTGGTTGCTAGGGTGTTCTGGATGGTTGCTAGGGTTGTTATGGTGTTCTGGGTTGTTGCTAAGGTGTTTTGGGTGGTTGCTACGTGATTGCTAGCATTGCTATGGTGTTCTTGGTGGTTTCTTTGTGGTAGCTAGGATTGCTATGGCGTTCTGGTTGGTTGCTAGGGTATTATGGGTGCTTACTATGTGGTTGCTAGGGCTGTTTTGGTGTTCTGGGTGGTTGCTAGGGTTGCTATGGTGTTCTGGGTGTTACTAGGGTGTTCTGGGTGGTTACTATGTGGTTGCTAGGGTGTTCTGGATGGTTGCTAGGGTTGTTATGGTGTTCTGGGTTGTTGCTAAGGTGTTTTGGGTGGTTGCTACGTGATTGCTAGCATTGCTATGGTGTTCTTGGTGGTTTCTTTGTGGTAGCTAGGATTGCTATGGCGTTCTGGTTGGTTGCTAGGGTATTATGGGTGCTTACTATGTGGTTGCTAGGGCTGTTTTGGTGTTCTGGGTGGTTGCTAGGGTTGCTATGGTGTTCTGGGTGGTTTCTAGATTGATTTTGGCGGTTGCTATGTGGTTTCTAGGGTTGTTATGGTGTTCTGGGTGGTTGCTAGGGTGATCTGGGCAGTTGCTGTGTGGTTGCTGTGGTGTTCTGGTTAGTTACTAGGGTGTTCTGGGCGCTTGCTATGTGGTTGCTAGGGTGTTCTAGGTAGTTGCTATGTGGTTGCTATGATGTCTGAGCTATGGATGCTATTTAATTCTGAGTGGTTGCCCAGATTAGTAAACAGATTAGTAAACAGCTAGTCGACACTATTAATCTCCGTGAACGTCCTCATGTGGTCACATGACTCATGGAGATGATCTGCAGTACCGCTCTCTACCAGCAGAATGCAGTGTGTTCAACCACATCTGCTCCTGATCTCACACACAGACGATCATCATGTCATTCTGTTACAGGTGTGAGTAGTTAGTTCACATTCTGAAAGCAGCAGTCAGACATCCACAGATGTAAACAGCCAAAGCAGCACCGGTGTTAGAACAGCAGCCAATAGCAGCGCTCCAAAGCGCAGCGCAGCGCAGCAGCCAATCAGCTTGCAGTCAGCCAAGCCTACTCAAGCTGTGATTGGCTGTGGTATTACCTGCATCACTCCTCCGGCGTGATCTCCGTCTCTTTATGCACCACCACTTTGGTCACTGACATGTCGGGATGTTGTTCTTTAGCCTCTTTTATGGCCTGAGCCAGAGCCTGACCCATAGTAACACCACATCATCATCATAGGCCACGCCCCCAACACCCACATCAACATCACAGCCACACCCCTCAACACCCACACCAACATCACAGCAATTAATCCGAATAATTAATCTGAATTAATTCACCCATATGTCCCTGCTTGTGCTCTGAGATCGAGTTCTGAGAATTTGCTTGCAGTACCTAAATTCCGACTGGTGTGGGTGGCAGGGCTTTCAACATCTCAGCATCTAAACTCTGGAACAAACTTGCACAAAACCTCCGTGCTGTCTCTTCACTCCAGACCTTTAAAACTGTTCTCAAAATTACTTATTTACAATATGTTTTGTTAATTGATTGTAGCAGACTGCCTCAATTTTCAGTTCTATGCTTGCTTTCGTTACTTTTCTTGGATTATATCATCTCTGTCTGCTCTATTTGCTTGATTATGTGACTGTATATCTGTTGTTCATGTTATCTATCAACTTTATGTAAAGCGACCTTGGGTCCTTGAAAGGCGCTATATAAATAAAACATATTATTATTTTTATTATCACAGCCACGCCCCTCAACACCCACATCATCATCACAGCCACGCCCCTCAACACCCACACCATCACAGACCACCTCCCTTAACAACCACATCATTATCACAGCCATGCCTCTCAACAACAACATTACAGCCACGCCCCTCAACACCCACACCATCACAGTCACGCCCCTCAACACCCACATCATCATCACAGCCACGCCCCTCAACAACAACATTACAGCCACGCCCCTCAACACCCACACCGTCACAGGCCACGCCCCTTAACAACCACATCAATAGGTGCGTTCGACTTGAAGCACCGCTACAGACGGCGATCAACGAGAGTAGCCGCTTGCAGTCGGGGGCAGAGTTGAAAACGGACACGTCAAGCCGGACACTTTCTGCTCCCGTTAGTGATGCTCACGCGGTGTTTTCATACTCTTCCACAGATGAAGCGAATAAAATGCAATATTTGTCAAATACACAGACGTTTCAGAAACGTTTTCATGAGCAACAGAAACACTTTTTATATAC